CTCTCTCTCTCTCTTCTGCCGTCCCAAACTTAGTGAACTAGGTGCCCTGCTGCTCGCTCACTGTTCTGCCGTGCCGAACTCTGTGAATTATTCTGTTCATTCGCTTGCTATTCTCCCATTTTCATCTCACTCGCTGCTCCCCTCGGCTTTTTCTCCCCCGTTTCATCCCGCCTGTTATGTACCCGATTGAACTTCAATCCACAACGAATTCACACATTCCCATTCACGCATGCAATTGCAGAGTAGACTCGAAGGAGGCAAATCCACACAAAAAACAGAGAGAAGATATGCACAGCGGAAGCTCGAATTTCAATTCTGCAATCCCTCGTCCTCCTCCAATCAATCCAGACTACTTGTTCCACGAATCACAACCGCCTTGTCAACAACCCGGAACGACCAGAAACAAGTGTTCAACGAAGTATGCATGCAGGAGTCTTCTTCTTCCTCCTCGCCACCCCATGCCCCTGGCTATGGCTGCCGTAGCAGCAATAACCCCACAGCTGTCACAACGTGCCAATATGAACTATCAACCCCAATGATAGCAGCGCCAGCTCAGCGCCCGCACGGAAGTGCAGCGCTGGAAGTCCTGATGAAGAAGGAGACAATCGATCCAGCACTTCAAAGAAGATGAAGTTCTTCGTGAGGAGGAACAGCAGATATGGCTGCCAAGTGGAAAATGGCAGCGCCCAAACCCGACAACACAGTCCTGTGGAAGTTCTCATGCAGAGGTGCGAAATAGCAGCAGTGCGATCTTCAACTTTGTTTCTCAACCCCCAGCTATGGCTGGGCTTCGAGGAAGAAGATGACCTCGCCCAAAATAGAGCAGCAGTACTCCAACAATGGACAGGCAGAGTTTCCCCAGCCGCACGAAACAAGAAAAGACCCGAACCAAATTTCCTGCCTGCTACTTCTACCCTCTGTCTAGGCCTACGACGGACTCTCAAGGCAACAACCCAAGGCTCATCTGTATCTAGATGGAAACAGGGGGAAACGGGGACCTAGACCTATGACAAGGCAAAAGGAAAAGGTCGAATGGCCTAGGACTACCAAACACAGACTACTAGTGACAGACTCAGGGATCAAGTCCCATAGGGCTCAAAACTAACAAACATAACATACAAATTTCAGGTCACGGGATCGAAGTCCCACAAGGCCCAAAACAAGGAAACACCAAACACAGTAACACCTAGTTAGTGTACATTCCCACTGGGATACTGCGATTTATTGCACCGCCTGTCTCCCTTGACTTCACCTCCCACACTTGATTCCATTCCTCACCCCACTCGTCTCCCGTTTCACTTGCAAAAGCTTCCACGCACTGCTGTTGGTGCTTCCAGGAGTCGCATAGTCCTCGTCCTTGGTGCTTTTGCGTCTGGTTGATTGATTGGCTTGTTGATTGGTTGCAGGGTTGTCACGCGGGGATCCCCGGGGCCTGAGCCGGGGTGGGGCTTTCACCCCCGGACCCCCGCAGCGGGGATCACCGACCCCCGCACCCCGCCATCCACCCCCGCCCATGCCCCAACCCCGGCAACCTCGCCCACGACCCTGCAACCCTGCCCCGCTCCCT